ACCTTCCTATCGATGTCCAGCTCGCTCGAGTACCTGAAGTTAGCTTGATGTCAGCGATTTTTGTGGATGAATTTTAAAATTTCAGTCCATCGGGAACTATTAGCTTTTCGCTCGAACCTAATGGGATGAATAGTAAAGTGCTCAGCACTGAATGGTTATGGTGGAATGCGCCAAACATTCGACTTCCAGTGATACTTGCGAGCGTATTTGAATGCGCACTAGGCTTATACAGTGATTTCAAAGGCTGGAATGTTTACGGCACACTGTAATATCTCCACCAACATTTAGTGGTGCTAGTGAATCGGTGCTGGCCTTGTTCACTGTACTTAATGGTGACGTCTCTTCTTACTGACCTACATGCCTCCACCAAGGTTTATTAAATTCGAAAGATTTAAAAAAATCCAACCTCGTCTTAGTGAAGTTCTTCTTGCTAGAGAATGATCGTAGTACTCGCTTCTCATCCACAATCGACAGCATGTATTCGATCGACCTGCTAAGAGTCGTAATAAAAGGCGTGCTTTGATACACAGTAATTACATTTCAATAATTCGATTGCTGAACTAAAGTGGATTTAGAACTATTTGCAGTCCGTTCCAGGGTATGTCGGACTTTTACCGGCGCCCCACGGCTAAGCGGAGCATGCGGCGGCGCGTGCGCTGCCGAGCCTGCTTGTGAGTATCTGTGTTTGCCCCGACAAATATACTGACTCAGAACCTTGGCTGGTCGATATCCTCTGATATGAGATAAGCTTTGAGCACATCATCGACACTGTTAGAGTAGGAAGAGCCGCCAAGCTTCAAGGTCCATTGCCATGTTTGAAGGGGGAACGTGCAGGATCGTGTGCGAATCTGAAACCATCAGTTCAACAGGTATTCGATTCATAGACAACGAAAAGTCAGCGGTCTTTATGAAGACAGCGGTGTCACAACTACGATATCTGGAGACCTTAGCCTTCATTGAAGCGGTACTGATCTTCAGTCCTTCAAAATTATGTACTCACGCACCTGAAACGAATGATCAACGCCTCTCTGATAAAGCTGCTCGTTGGAGATCGATATTCGCTTATCCCATCTGGTGTCCGTATAATTCCGCAGTAAAAATTGTGTTGTAGAAAATTCCCTGAAATAAAATACAGGCAATTGATCGTTTCGCTTTTGACAGCCTGGGTCGCGACTAGGTCGTAACCGAGTCCCTAAGCACAGAGATCGTAGCACTTATGCGCCGCAGAGACGCTAATGCCTTCTACGGATCGCTGCGACTCGCGCAGACGCGATGTCTGTGCCCTCTCTTACAGCTCGCCCTTTCGGGTTTTCTGTCTCCTTGCAGCACTGAGTCGCCCCGTCGCCACGTTCAACCTTGAAAGGAAGGCGAGTTCTCAGTGCTTCCTATGGCTCTTCTATTTCGCCATTAGCGGCCCACTTCGTACCTCTTCCATCCCCGAGCGAAATTATGCACAAATTCGTTGTCCACCGTGCCTTCAGAGGAATACAGACCGTCGCTTCATGGGATTTCGCCTTGCCGGCGGTCTATTTATCTGGTCTCAAACCTTCTCCACTATGTGATAG